CGAGAGAATGCAACTTAGACCGCAGGGACAGATCTTTTGGTTGTACTCCAAAGATAGCTGATGCTACTTGCATCACAGCAGCCCCCACAGTAGATTTGCCCACTCCAAATTGATTCCCGACTGACCGGTAGCTGTCTGGCGTTGCAAGCTTCCACAGGGCTATCGCCACGTGCTTCTCAACTGTGAGGGCTGCTCTCATCTTGGTATTCTGGCATTTCAGCGCAGGGGAAAGCAAGTCACAAAGTTCCATGAAAGTGCCCTTACGCATGCGAAAGTTCTGCAGCCACTGGGAATCATCCCACACCTGCAACACTATGCGGTCCCACCAGTCTGTGCTTGTTTCCCTTGCCCAGAATAGGCGTTCCATGGATAGAACCTACCCCATTAACAACATGATCTCCAAAGCACGGGGGCCCGCGGTTTGAGAGAATTCTGTGTCCGTGTCCCTGTCCATGTCCATGTCCTCATCACGCTTGTTGCTGCACTGCCGCCGCCGCCGCCTCCTCGCCTCGTTTTTCTGGTCCTGGCTCAGCATAAACTCCACGAGAACGCGCGAGGTGTTTACAATGTTCATGACTGCTGTCTTTAGCTGAGCGGGCTCCATGCTTGCCGTGGTATGGAGTCTGCAGTGTTCACCCAGGAAAAAGGGCGCAAAATGGTTGTCTGCCGTCCGTTGCTTACATGCAGGGAGGGAGGGAGGGCTGAGGCTGTACCCAGAACCACCTGCGACAATGTTTTTTGTCCCATCAGGCACTGGGATCTCAACCCAGAATTCCAATGGGCGTGGGAGACTGCGGGAACTATGGGATAGCTATGGGATAGCTACCCACAGTGCAACGCTCCAGAAATCGACGCTAGCCCCGGTACTTGGACGCACACCGCCGAATTAATGTGCTTAGTGTGGCCACATACATTCGACTTTATACAATCTGTTTCCCAAATTCGAATTATATAAATTCGGATTAATCCCGTAGTGTAGACATACCCTTGGACTCTCCTAATTCACAGGGCAAAAGTCAGAGGCTTTTGAACGTAAACCTATGTCCACCCCTCTGCCAGTGTCTAAAGAAGTCTACGATGGGGTAAATTATAGTAGCTTCCCTCTCACTTTAACCTACATCTTCTTCCAGCTCCTCAGTGTATAATTCGCATCAGCACAGATTCCCGCACATATGGCTAGAGGGGATGTACATGAGCATGAAGTGGAAAATGAACACAATTTGCTCCAGTGGCTTCACCACCTCTGACTTTGGTCCATAGACTCTAACGAGGGAGTTTATAATTGGGTATAATACTAGTAGGAGCTCGCGCTAATTCACTGCTGGGGGCGGCCGGGGGTGGGGGGATCCTGCCAGACTACACTCCCCTTTTGGGGATGCCAAACCGAGTGCGTGACGGCTGGGCTCCCTCTGCTCTGTGCGCTCCAATCAGGGAGCAGCCCCGTTAGCTGCATTCCGGAGTGCCCCCATGCCGCCCCTCCAGGAGGGTAGTTGGCTAGTGAATGGGGCTGGGGCACAAACAGGCTGTAACTTTGCTCGTTAAAAATGAAAATAAAGGGTCTGTGTGCTTCTCATCCTCCTCCTTCTCCCTCGCCCTGGAGTCAGCAGCAGCAGCAGCAGTCCGCTCGCTTTGCTGGGTCTGTCTCTTCCCCTGGGTTGCTGGCTGGGCTGATCATTACCGAGTCACTAGCAGACTGCAGTAGTAAATACCTGGCATCCCAAAGATTAATCCCCAGGAGCCAGACGCCTGCCAACACTCCTGCCTTACCTCCGGGTAAGTCCCTTCTGCTTAGGGGGAGAAGGTGGAAGGTGGATGGGGAATCAGATTGGCTGGGGTGAGGGGAGACAGGGAACCTGCCCACAAGAGATGGGAAAATGGCAGCTTTTTTCTTCTTTTTCAGAACAGTATTACATAAGGCAACGTTACCATGCCTGCCCCTAAAAATAACCCCTGGATTTAGGCAGCTTTATGCTAGTTTCCTGATTCCAGCTCCCTCCCCCATCCTAAATTCCACGTGTGGGATAGTATTTAAAACATGCATGTTTTTAAATGCTCCACAAATAAAAAAAAAACCTCAAATAATTTTCACTGTATGAATGATGTGTGTCTCCGTGTTCTGATACATTCAGGCATGGGAAGGGGAGAGCCTTGAATTGATCTTCTGAGAGTTTTTCTTTAGATTGCTGATTATGATAATAAAATGACAACAGTTCCTGCCTGGCTTTGAAACCAATCCCCCATTCCTGAGTATAAAACAAGGAGCACAGACTTTGGCAATGATTGAGAACAGAACACTTTACTAGACCTGGGCAGGAAATGGCTTTCCCATCCCACAAAAATATTTGAGATAGCAAAATATTTCCCCATTTCAAATTGGGACCAAAGGTCAATATCTTGGAAATTTTCACAAACTGGAAAAAAAAAATCAGGAACAAAACGTGGGTCAGGTCAACTAAACTATTTTGTTTCAATACATTTTAAATGTTTCTTTTCAGTTCTGATCATTAACCCCCTCCCCTAATAATTAGCTTAAATTTCAAAACAAAAAGTTGTTTCAAATAGAAAACTGAAAATTTTAATTTAAAAAAGGCCAAAACAAAATATTTTGACAATTTTGGTACTTTTTTCAAAGTTTTTTCAAGTTGAAAAATTTGATAAAATTGACCCTTTCCAGGAAAAAAAAAAAAAAGGTTTGGTTTCAACAAGTTGGCTTTTTCCAATGAAAAAAAAATGTTTCATCAAAAAATTCCAAGCCAGCACTATACTTCACCTTTTGAAGAGTCTGGAGGGTGTTGGCCAAAGAATTTTAAAGGGCTATTAAAAATATTACATTAGAAAGGCTACCACCTAGTTTCTCCACCCATTGTATATCCTCTCTCATAATCTCAAAATGGCAAATAAGTGGACAGGGCAATAAAAACAGATCTGAAGGACACCCATTTAAATAGAGTGTGACATAGGAAATAAAAGATTTAAGCAATTTTTTGTTGTGCATTAACATGTGTGTGTCTACATATGAAATTAGCTCAGAATCTGCCCTCCCAGGAAATGTCATGATCACAATACTATTTTAAACACTAATGAGAACATTTTGAGATTTTATTTTGATCCGGTTAAAGGATATATATATATAAATTCAGAAGCCCATGTTACAATTTTTCTTGTAAAACTTTCTCTGAATTTAAAAAAAGAAAAATGTGAAATGCCAAGGAAATGCCTGGTGGAAAATTGTCATAGTAACTCAACATAGCTGAAGGTTTGATGTTCATAAGAATATGGAGGGAAACTAAGCATGCTATTCTCCTATTGATCTGAGGTTTCCACTATCTCTTTCCAGAGAGACGGGGTAACAAAATAATGGAAAAAGGTAAAAACTGCTTATATCTGAATCCTGTCAATTTTTTGCCCCAAGCCTTCAAATTATACAATTAAATAAGAGCACAAGTCTAATCCTTTTTACGAAATCAAAACCTTTTGAATCTTGGAAAGTTTGCACTGCAAAAACCTAGATTCAACATCTGGATCCTGCTGGATCTAGCCAAATTTTGGCTACAAGCTCCCAAATTCTCATTTCTGAATCAAGAACAAGTGTAACCACTCCTACTGCACCAAAATATTCTCAACCATAGTGAATAGTGGCACAATAGTACTGCAAGATCCTGGATCTGGTATCTGGATTCAGCTGGATCTTCCCAAATTTTGGCCCCAAACTCTACAATCTAAAAGAAAATAAGAATAGTTGCTCTTGCTTTGATGGAAAAGTCTGAACCCTGAAGCATCCCACTCAATAGCATTGGATTCTGCTATTTTAAATTTCTATATACTAATTCTACTGTCTAAATAGAAAACAAATATGTAGTAGCTCCTAGCACACCAAGCAATCCAGATACTGTAGTAAATGGGTGCTGCAGCACCACAAAAACTTGTTCCTGGCACTTGGCACAGTTAATTTTTCTTTTTTGTCCCAAATCTAAAAATTCTACCCACTTAAAATCCCACAAAGAAGTGCAGCTGCTCCAATTCATTTTTTTTTATGTGCATTAAGAGTGACTAGACTTATTCTGTATTTTAACAATAGAATTTGGGAGCTCTAAGCCAAAATTTGGTAGGATCCAAGTAGATCCAATTTTTCCCATAGCCTCATGATGATGTGCAAAATTGCAGTCTCAAATGCAGAGCTATGTTCTTTACTAAGAAAATATTAAATTGAAGCCTATTAATATTGTTTTCCAAAGCTGCATCATGCATGCCCTTTTGAATTTTGACCATCTTGGGGCATATTGATGATTTTAGAATAATCACCCTTTGTATCATAGCACTTCAGCCCAGGAAAATGAAAATAAATGCAATCTGGAGGAATCCTGAGAGCCTGGGATTGGAGCTTCAGGGGTCTAAAAATTGGTGCCTTTTGCTTGCTTGTCTCTTCCCAGTTTCCTGCCCTCTTGAGTGTGTGAGAAAGACAAGAAAAGTTTGTTCACTTTGGAAACTCGATAGGAGGCAGCAGCTGATCTTCCCATCACCAGCCTAAAAATAATCCACTCCAGGGCTTGGAGCTGCTTCACAAAGTGGAGGAGAATCTTGCCATCGGAATGATATTGATCACATAGCACAACCAAGGGAAAACTGGGTTTGATATTTTGTGTATGTATATATAAAGGTAAGCTATAGAGTTTGATCTAACATTCAGCAAAGAAACGGGGCATGCAGCAACACCCCCCACTGTTATCTCCCACTAACTTTCTCCTTCCCCTTATATCTGTGGGACAAGACTTCTCTTTGCATTTTCCTGGGGATTGCAGTTCAAATCTGTTTAACTTTTCCTTCTCAAACCAATATGCTCAGACTTTAACATCCCCAACTGCTGATGCTTTCACTATTGTTCATAGGGTTATGTTTCTTTTTTAAAATTGATTTTCCAATTGTCCCGTCCTAATGTCTGAAGTCTAAATCACAGCTTGTTTCACAGCAGACGGCATAGCATGCTAGCATTTGAGACCGCACAAATTGCTGTATTAAGAAGTTTCCAAAAAAAGAAGCAAGCAGGAGAATTGTATCTGAGAGACAGCTGTAAATATTTATGTGAATTGCTTTTCAGTGTCAGTTTTATGTTTAGCTCAGCTTCAGCTATAACCCTATATGTTCCGGAACATTCATTCATGTATTCAAAAATGTATTTTCTGTGCATTTGCGGTCTGATCAAAAACCCCTTAAAGTCAATGAAAATCTTTCCATTGACTTTGAATCAGGCTCTTTGTATACATTGCTAAGTGCTTTGAAAACAGTAGAGTAGCTAGAATAATTAATTTATCACCTCAGGGCCCAACATCATCTGAACAGTGGTTATCAGGCTAGCAAATATCTTTAAATTATTTGCTCCTGGTTGAAATAATAAGAAAAATATAATATATAGGATCATTTTTGATGAAACAAATACATCTCAAACTGTAAGAACTTTACTTCTAGTCTCACCAGACTGATAACAGATAATCTAAGTTCTGAATAGCTCAGACTGTGTTATGCAGAGTCAGGCATCATTAGGGGGGGAAATTTTCAAACAAGAAAAAGTTTACGTTAGAAAAGGAAAAGGATTCTGGGAAATACTCTGCTCTCTACACATTGATCCTGTGCACACTGAAATCAATGGTAAAACTCAGGATCAGGCTGACAGTTACACCCATGAAACCAGATTGATTTCAGGATTTGCCCTCCTTTGTCAGAGATCACCGTAGACTTTTCTTTTGCTTTTCCATCACCTTAATATTGAGAAATGCTATAACGACAAGCAAAGGTATGGCCTTTTATAATGAATCAGCTGGCTAGCAGAATCAACCATTGAGTACTTTTGTAAATCTGCCTGTTTAATCTATCCATCCTGTATATATAATAAAAAACAGAAAATGTACATCACATGCAAGACAAGGAAGAAAACAGAGGTTAAAACAAACTGAAAAAGCAATGAATACACGGATATATTTTGTCTTGGGGTAAAGACATATTGGCTATTTGGTTAAAGATCAAAAGAAAAATAACTTTTGACATAGACTTTCAAAGGATTCATGCTCCAAGGAACAAGGAGTACTTTAGGCCCACATTTTACACTCTTTTCTTAATAGTCACAAATATCTTGCCGTTCATAGAAAACAGAATCATTACCCAGTTAAAATAAGACCTGTGAATATGGAGAACTATATTCAACATTTAAGTGCCACTTTAAAAGAAGTGTTCCCCCCATTTTGAAAAATTTTAGATTTCATAAACAGTGTATAAAGTGTTGCCCAGTTAGAATTCCCAGGGCTTTTGCACTTGTCTTGGTTTGATGTATGGGGTCTTAAATATTACCCACCATTTCCTCATTGTCATCTTCACAATCCTTTATAAAAAAAGGTATCTCAATATCTGGCTCCATGCCTTGAGAATCACCATTAGATGATCCTTAAATGGAGCCTCTTTTCAGAGTCACCAAGTTCCTTGGTACGTTACAAAGTTTAGGATAAGACTGACATGTTTTCATTATCATGTCTTCGTAATGAATTGGCTTTTCTTCCCCCTCAGCCTTCTTCTCATCCATGGCAACTATTTAATCCTGAATAGGATTAAATACAAATGAATCACATTTGTAGCAATTGCTGTTAACTACAATACTATCAAGTTTTGTACCTCCGTCCAAAACTAGAGAGGCCCATCTTGCTAGCTAGTGGGAGTTTTACAACAAAATCTCGAATGTTTAGTGGCTGCAGGTCTATTTTTAGGCATTGCAGGGTCTCTCTGCCTTCCAGATAACTTTCATCAAAGTAAACCAACAAGGAGTCAGGTTTCAGAATGAATAAAAGGAGAGCTGAAAGCATATTGTCCCTGTAACCGGCTTGGGTCCACCCTTTTCATCCTGCCAGCCTCCACCCCTCTCTTCAGCCTTATTTCCTTTTGTCTTTTGAAGTATTGCCCATCTGGTCAGCTAATAGTTGATTGCTTAAGTCTGAGTACTTGACTAAGACAGGGACATAAAATGGAACCAACTTTCAAAGATTATTGGTCTGATTTAGCTTACAGTCAGAAACATGAGCAATAAGGAAACGTGGCGAGAGGTCTCCTCTGGTAAAACATAGTGGGGAGATACAGAGTCCAGAAAATTCAATAAGGAAACTCAGAGTTTCCATGGAATGTTCCCCTCAGTTGAAAGGGAGGGTGTTAGTGAGGAGTCAGTGTGCTTGACATCTCAAATAATGGGGATTGTTGGGGCCTGGAGTCTGCAGCCCTACAGAGAGCCTGTCTTGACAAACAATGGCTGGGTCCCTCACCCTGCATGGCTTTCTCAGAAGCAGAAGTACAGAGCAGCAGTTAATGCTGCTTGATGAAAAAAAACCATATATAAACTTTTCAGACTGAATGACACACAAGCATTTATGTTCACCCCTTTTGTCTTCATCACTTCAAGCACACTGTCTATGACAGAGCTGGTCAGGAAAGGATATTCCTGCAAAAAAATTCAATGAAAACAAAATTGAAAAAAAAAAAATCTCAAAAACAGCTCCCCCGTCCCCTCCATGCTGTCCACTAATTGCAGTTTCCAGTTGCCAAAATCCTAAATGTTTTCCATTTGGGGGGCATTCATTTTTTAATGAAAATCTGATTTCTCCCCCGCCCCCCAAGAGTTCAGTTCCATGTAATTGAAAAGTCCTTTTCCATCAAAAATGTTTTGACCAGCTTTACCTCTCTGCCTAGCTCTTCAAAGAGCCACACATGTCCACTTCTGTTGTATTTCTATAGCTATCTCCCTTTAATATGGTCTTGCTAAATTAATGAAATTGTACTTCAATTATTATTTTGTTTACATCTTTAGTCAACTTTGGATTCAGTTTTAGATCTGTATCTTCAGCTATATTCTAACTCTGCTTGACACAGTTAATGGAACTGGGGCAAAGGTAACTTTAATCCACTTTTTTGGTCTTTGATTCCCTTTGATACCAGGGCACACCATGTATGTAGAGCAGTTTCAGGGCTTGATAAAGGCTAATTTTCAATGAAAATAATTTCACTTGAAAATTTTTGACCAGTTCCAGATTTTTGTGAAGACCTGTCATGGGCTCAGGTATCACTTTGTGGCTACATCTCGGGATTAGCTCTCGCCCAATCAGGCACCCTCTTTTTTGGTCATTCACTCCATGGTCTCTCTCTGGGCTCAGGGGGCTGCCTCTTTGTGATTCTGCCCTCCGATCAGGTCACTACAATCCTCTCCTTCTGGGATATCAAAGTCCCACTAGAGAAACTGTCTATCTGCAGTCCCAGGCAATCTTCTGATCTACTTCCAAGCCAGTGCCACTTTCCGACTGGCTGGTAGGAGAACCCAGGCACACCCATTACTACAGGTTCCAGCCCAGGAAACCTATGCCCAGCAACCAGTCTGCTCAAGTTCTGATGCTGTTGCTGTTTTCTTGGGCTCTGCCCTACCTCACTTCTCTATCTCTTGGCCTACCTCTGGGTTTACCACTGGAGCTTCCTCCGCGCCCTGTGGTTATTTCACCCCTCTCAGCTTCTTGCTAGAATCTAGTCCAAGGCAGGATCCCAGGGTCTACTCTCCCCATAGAACTCCTCTTTCTACCTAACCAGCTCCCCTCCACTCTAGGGAGTACTGCAGAGCTCCTCCATGCAGCCCTCCTCCTCCAACTTCCTCTCTTTAAAAGCCTCCTCCAGCTGGACTTCCTCAGTCCTTTATTAATTCCTGGCTCTCTTCCAGGTGCAGTTTATACAGTTAATTGGCCTATTTTGCCTGTTCAGACCTTGTGTTGGGTGGACACCCCATCACAGGAACAAAAGTTAAAGAAAACAGGTTTCAGCGTAGCAGCTGTGTTAGTCTGTATCCTCAAAAAGAACAGGAGTACTTTGTTAGTCTCTAAGGTGCCACAAGTACTCCTGTTCTTTTTAAAGAAAATGGTTTACTATAGACCTAAAAGGACAGATTTCTTACAGCCTATATTTAAAAGAAAATGCTGAACTGAACACCACATGTTACCAGGAGTAAAACAAATTAAGAAAATAACCTGAATAGAAGCAGTTAAAAATCCCACCAGAGCTGAAACTCTGGAAACGTAGAAGACAACTGTAGAAGATTTAAATAGTACGTGCTATTCAATGATCACACAATGATGTGTGATCATTGAACACCACCACCATGTATCTTTGAGGTCACAAAGTGTGTTGATTTATGCCAAACAGTGGGTTTTGTGAAATAAACACTCGAGAACTAGACTGAGATCATCAAACTTAGATGTTACAGTTCCTTTTTTATTATTCAGCCTTTTTAGTACCCATAATACCCAATCGGTCACGGCAGATTTTCTCTGCCACTTCCTAAGAGAAGTTCCACTTTCTTATTTGGAACAATAAACCCGTCTATATAGTTCACACTGTGAATGAATTGTTTGTACAAACTTTTGCAAGTGATTACTCTTAAAATTTTCTATAAGATTATTTCTCTCTCAACATGGCCTTTTTCTTTCATGGCCCCACAAATATAAAGAGTTTATAAAAGAGTGATGGGCATTTGGCAGTGCTACAGCTGGTTGCAAATTTGCTATCAAAACTTCTTTTCAATAGAAAATGCCTTTTTTGACCAAAGATAATTTTTTTCTGGAACATTTTTATTTTGGTCAAAAACATTTTTGTTTTCAACAAAAATATTTTTCAAAAAAGTTGCTTCATTTCAGTGGGTAACAGAACACTTCTTGTTCTTTTTCTTTAAAAAAAAACCCCAACACTTTTTCACTGAAAAAAAGGGAACAAAAAGCAAAAAAGTGAGAGAATTTTTAAAAATTCCCCTTTTTTTCAAAGGAGAGGGAAGTGTGAGAAAGTGTTTTTTTTTACATTTTTCTCACTTAAAAAAAATGAAAAAATTGAAAATTAAAAAAAAAAATATTAAAAACATTCCTTGAAAAACTCCAAAATATAATGGAAACACAAAAAACTTCTTTCAAAATTTTCAGTAAATATTTTGACTAGCTCTACTAACGTCTATTTATGATATTGCCATTTCCTGGGTGGAGCCTGAACTGCTCAACTGAGTGACCCAGGCCCTATACAATAACAGAAAATCTCAGGCTTTATGTGTCTGCGTTTGTAGAGCAGGAGAATCTGAGTTTTATCTCTGCTCTCACCATGGATAGCCAAGTGGCTGTGGTTTGCAGCAACAATACCAGGGAAGGTATTAGATGGCTGTAGGTTTGCTATAATAGCATTGCAAAATTAGGCTGAGACAGATATGCAATTTCCTGCAATATCTTTAGGAGATCTCACTATACTAAATTTATGTATCATTGTGAGCCAGGGTTTGTACGTAATTCCATGGGGGTGGGGGGTTACAGCTCCTGCAAGAACTAAGAACAAAGGGGCAAATTTGCTCAGGTTGTCACACCTCCAGAGAAGTAACACTGCTTGGAGAGGCTCACATATACTAATTCAGATGGGATTCTCCAGAGACCAACAGATAAAGAAAGGCCTTTTGGATAAATAGCCTGAGTTTACACTGAGTTTACACAGAGCCTGCTTTCTGATCCAGGAAATGGACAGGACCTTCTGTCCAAGCGGGGACAATACTTACTGGGAAGGGTTGGAATGACTTTGGCCTACTAAGGTCCATAAGACTGAGGGGTGACATCTGATAAGCTTTTAGCATGCATATAGCAACCTTTATGGTGTTTTATATGATTTCTCTGAAGTGCTTCCACCTTAGGAATAAATGTACTTGCTTAGAGCTGTGTGGTGATTTGTGACCTCTGCAATTATGCTGTGCGTAAGCCTTCAAAGAGAAAGCAAAGTGCAGACAGTTCCCTGTTTAGACAGTCTGGCTTGCTGGAATAACACAACGTGAGCAGGAGCCTGTGCAGCCTGGAAAACTCCAATCAGGAGAGAGAGAGACACATGTCTCTACCCAAGAGAGGTGATGGCTGAGGAGCCTGGAGGCTAGATTGGGTGCCCTTGGTGGAGCACAAGGGAGAAATATGGACGCAGTTGCCCTGAAGTGTGACATACATATATTACGATTGTTTTGCATATTTTTTGGAAACATCCAAGATTGGCCACTGGCAGAGATCAGATATGAGACTATACAGACTACTGGTAGATATATACAGGCTAGCTGAGGGCACTCACTTCACACTATTAACATTTCACTCTCTTACGGAAACTTCTGGTCCCAACGATCTATCTCTCTCCTAGTGAAGGAAAAGTCCAAACATCCCCTCCCCCATTTGATCTCTGAGACACAGTTTCCCATGTCACAATCCTTTTACTCAGTTTTAAAGCTGACTAATTGGATCTCATGGCCACAAAGAGTTAGTGATTGAATGTGCATTAGAACCCAGATCCGCCTGCCTTCTAATCTCAATCTAACAACCAGAGCACGACAGCCTGCTCAGCCGTGTGAGAATGTAGTCATATTGCTTGTGGGAAAGGAAAGAAAATTCCCAGCAGAACTCCCATGGAACTTCTGACCCTCCATAAAGATTAGGCAACAGCATTTAAGATTTTCTGCAGATTACCATTATGTTTCTCTTATGTCAAGATTTTTAAAACAACCAAACAACCTCCATACGGAGTTTTAAAAAAATTCCATATGTATCCTGCTAATAACTCAGTAGATTATTGAAACAGAACATATTTTTAACATTATATTTGGTTTTTATTATTAACCAGTTTTAGTATTGTTTGCACTTTATTCCTCATTGGCAGAAAATCTCTAATGGTCATAGTACATTGTTGAATGTAGATGCTGGGCCAAATTCTTCAGTGAAATCTCACTGATCATGTAGGTGTAAATCAGCATTTAGGCTTTGATCCTGCAAACATTTAGGCATATGCTTAACTTTAACGATGCAAATAGTCTCATTGATTTTGAAAAGATTACTCATGTGTACAAAGTTAAACCCATGCATTTGAGTTTGCAGGCTCTGGGCCTTAATGTGACCCACAGTCATTCGATTGCTGGTTTTCTTCAACCAGTACATTGCTACTGTGTTTGAAAAATGATTACATTTATTAAACACTTTTCAGAAGACCTCTTAGAAGTTTAATGAAGGCGTTTCTATTCAAATCAAATTTTGAAAACCCTTCTAGCTCCTTGTTTTCTTTTATTAAATGAACTAAAATGCGGGTTTCACTGAGGCTCGCAATGTCCCTTTAAACTCGCATGTACTCTTTTTAAAAATGCTATGTTTGTGTTCATCCTAGGGAGATTCTTGAGCCAAATCATGCTTGCCTTATTTACACAAATAATGCCATTTGAAGTCAACAGCCCTATGTGTGTGAGTAAGGCAAGCGGGATTTGGCCTGTTGTTAAGCCACCAAACTCAACCAACCTTGTTTTTTCTTACATTTTATGTAGTCCGAGTAATTTTTTATTATCCCGATTCAGCAAGACACATGAGCATGTACTTACGTCCCATTGACTTGAATGGGAACTTGGCATGTGCTTTGCTGAATAGTGAAGTACTTATGTGCAAGCAAATATGCTTGGCTGAATCAGGGACTTTGTGGGTTATTCCCCCCAATGTCTTTAATTTTTTTAAAAAATTATATTTTAAAAGAATTAACAATGTCACCAACCAAGCATTCATGAATAATCCTACAGTAACAAATTAGTGTGCATATGCTGGAGGAAAAGAAATCTGTAAGGAGGCATTTCATTTTCAATCCTGCTTCATTCTGTTATAAATGGTAATGAGTACTAAGGTAGAGGGCTCACACTGTAGCCGTGGAACAACAAATCCTAAGAAGGGAGACTGCAGAAGACACAGTCTGTGTGTCTGTGTGTCACTGTGGTGTGAGACTCCATAGCTCTAATTCAACCAACAATTACACATTTGCTTAGCTTTAGGCACATTGAAATTTTTGATGAAAAATGGAAACAAGGTTTTAAAACATGTTTTGGTTTCCTGACCATCTCCATTTTGTTTTTGGAATATTGAATATGTGCAATGAGCTGTTCATGAATGTGATGGAGATCAACATTTATTTGCAGTATGTATTCAGTGGATACTTTTAATAGTAAATAAAGCCCTGATCATGGAAACACTTATGCACACTTTAGGTTAACTTTCAGCATGTGCATAAGAGTTTGCAGGATCAGAGTTTATGTATGTCTAATAAATTATTCTCTTTGAATTATTTAGTCTGCTCATAACTAAAAAAGCCTCAATGATGCTGTTTTAATTTTGTGTTTAGCTAAAAGAAATGTAAAAAACTTTGGTGATCACTTTGGATTTTTTACTTTTTTTGTTCCTCTTGTGTTTTGTCTCTAGTTTGTAACAATCAGGCTGTTTGGAAGCAATGAAGGCCGCATTTTGTGGTAATGACAACGCTTCTGCCTATGACATCAGTGCTGGCGTCCTAAAAAATGTCTGCTTCGTGGATGCCCTCAACCTGGTTCCCCATGTCTTCCTGTTATTTATCACCTTTCCAATTTTGTTTATTGGTGAGTAATCCAGCCATAGGCCCCCAATCCTGAAAACAATCATGCATATGCTTCAAGTCAAGCACACATACATGTTTGCAGAACTGGGGCCTTATTATGATATAGGACTGGTGCAATACATTCAGTTTAGATATTTTGCATTACTTTAGGCATCATGAGGAAGAGACGGAATGGAGATCCAGTCAAGAGGGGGCATTTTGAAGAGAGATTAATGCAAAGGTGGGCCTGAACCAGAAGAGTTAATGTCAACCGTCTTTCATTTATTGGAATTTTGGGTACACGTTCTGGACTTTACAACATGGGCCCACCTTTATAAGATGGAATCTAACCAGAAAATCAGATCCAAATTCTCTCAAACTTTGGAGAAGTTTGTCTTCAGGTTTGAACTTGGCAGCTTGGGTCTGTCTCTATTTTTAGATTATAAGAGTTAGGACATGAGATCTGTCCTTGAACTTTGATGGAGTTTGGAGCTATTCCAAAATTTACATCTTAGGTCTGTCTGTATGATAATTATGTGAAGCACTGCAGAAAGGATAATTCATTCTCATGCCAGTGTTTGTAAATACGAATAAGAGATGATAAATCCACCCCTAAAACTATTTTGATAATGCAATGGCCCTAATTTATATGCTCTTCTTGTACACACAGTCATTAATAGCTTGATGAGCTTTATCCTGTTAAGTATCATGGGGTAGCCGTGTTAGTCTGTATCTACAAAAACAACAAGGAGTCTGGTGGCACCTTTAGTCTTTAAGGTGCCACCAGACTCCTTGCTGTTTTTATCCTGTTAGATTTTATATCTGTGTCTTTATACCACTGATCATCGTTAATGAGGCAAGTGAGATTGAAAAAAATTCTGAAATGGTACCGAAAGTAAAGAAAACATGGTCCACTTTGAAAAGCTTCATGAGACTAAGCTTAGAAGCACTCAAGTGGGAGGAGTTTGAGGCAAGCTTTTTAAAGGAGAGGATTTATTCGATATGTTGATTGCTAATATTTGTTAGTTCAGTATGTATGGATTAGGTGGTGACTTATACGCTAGCTGGTTTATAGGTGAATATATATAAGGTACTGTATCTGACATTGCAATGGATCAAATATTGAGAAGTGTTGAGCACTCTACACTCCCGGTGACTTCAGGAGAATTGTGCATGCTCAGTACCTTTCAGGCTTTGGCCCATTGTTTAGGGACATTTAAATTTATTATTTATGTTCATTTGAGTTAAGTCGACGGGAGAGTTTCTCCTATCGACCCAGCGCAATGTAAACACGAGTTGTGTAACTTACGTTGATTTAACCCCATAGTGTAGACCTGTCCTTAGTTCCACAGTTTCAATTTAGTTCTTATTTGATCAGAACCTGTTTGCTCATCTTTTGTTCTAACACACACAACTCCATGTTCCTCACCACTATAGAAACAATGCAGAACTCTCTATACCTTCCGCAAACGTTGCTCAACTTTTTTATATGTAATGGACTTTGCAATGACACAGGCTTCCAGAGACCCTGAGTAACTAAAGGGAGTACAACAGTTCTTTTCATCCCATTCAGTCCTTCTCAGGCCTGAGAGGATGACTGAAGGTCATTCATTTTTTTAAATCTCTCTGTCTAAAAGCAGTTTCATTTAAAAGGGTCTTGCACAAAGTTATCAAAAGTGGATATTGTTGTGAAACAGACAGCACTGTTTAACAATAATAATTCTCCACACTTCTATAGCATCTTCCATCTGAGGATCTCAAAGCACTTTACACACATAAATAAGGTAAGCCTAAGAATGCCTCTGTCAGGTAGATGAGTATCTCTAATTTACAGATGAAGGAAGTGAGGGACAAAGACTAGACTTTCCAGGTTCGATCACTCCATTTGCAGAGAGGAGTGTGTTTGCAATGGCAATAAGGTGACCAGACAGCAAGTGTGAAAAATCGGGATGGGGGTGGGAGGTAATAGGAGCCTATATAAGAAAAAGACCCCAAAATCGGGACTGTCCCTATAAAATTGGGACATCTGGTCACCCTAAATGGCAATAAAGCAGATGTGCAATGTCAGATGAACCACCTGCAGCAATTATTTCTGACCACCATGCCCTACTCAGGTGTATACTGTGTGCAGATTACATTCACTGTCACTTCGTTGAGGTGGGCATGTGGATAGCCTCACATTCAGACAGAGTGGCCTTCAGGATGGCCCAGCTTTCTCCTAGTCCTATTCCCTTGGTCTTTGGACACTTCTTCTGGGGGATGAGACTGATCTGGAGCTGTTGAGAGCTCATTGAGGATATGATAATCCTCAGCAGGCCTGGAATGAGGATAATAAGCATTGTCTGACTAAGGTAATTATATCCTTCCCAGGTCTTGAGGGTGAGGGGAGGGAGATAACAATTTTATAGCATTTGGAGAATTTACTGAGTGTCTTCTTATTGTCCCTTTGCTCTTGCCTTTCCTGCCATTCCCATTCTTTGATTAGTAGGAACAAGATGATATGGTCATTCAGGACTTGTCAGTCTATTCATTGAATGAAAAAGATTTGGGGGTCATGGTGGATAATCAGCTGAACATGAACTGTGGCCAAAAAAGCTAATGTGACCCTGGGACGCATAAATAGGTGAATCTTGAGTAATAGAGAGGTTATTTTACTTCTGAATTTGGCACTGGTGCGCCTGGTACTGGAATACTGTGTCCAGTTCTGGTGCCCATAGTTCATGGAGGATGTTGATAAATTGGAGAGGGTTAAGAGAAGAGCCACAAGAATGATTAAAGGATTAGAAAACATGCCTTATTGGGATAGACTCAAGGAGCTCAATCTGTTAATCTTAACAAAGAGAAGGTTAAGGGGTGACCTGATTACAGTCTATAAGTACCTACATGGGGATCAAATATTTGATAATGGGCTCTTCAGTCCAACAGTCAAAGATATAACACAATCCAGTGGCTGGAAGTTGCAGCTAGACAAATTCAGACTGGAAATAAAGCATACATTTTTGACTGTGAGGGTACTTAATCATTGCAACAATTTACCAAAGGTCGTGGTGGATTTTCCTCACTGATAATTTTTAAATCAAGAGTGGATGTTTTTCTACAAGATCTGCTCTAGGAATTATTTGGGGAAGTTCTATGTTCTGTGTTAAACAAAAAGTAAGACTAGATGATCACAGTGGTCCTTCTGGCCTTAGAATCTATGAATCCATCTCAGTCTTCGTGACATTCTGGTGTGCAATCCAGAGCAGTGTGGGATTGTGTCACATCTGCTGTGCAATGTGGGGTGCCTCACAGTGCTTTGCTGCTGTAGCTCCTAACCTGGGCTCCTCACAAGCAGCATGCAGGTCACAGCCTAAGTGTCTGTGTATAGCCACAGCCCTAGTCCAGCAACTCTGATCCCAACAGCCAATCAGTAACACACCAGCCACAGTCTGGATTTTAGCAGCCTAGGTTACTACTTGCAGAGTGACCCCAACATACTCCCAATCCTGGATTTCCACCAAAAAACATGTGTTCTGCACTGTCCAGCCCTCTTCTGGACAGTCCAGATATATATTAGGTCCATTGCCCCTCTAAGGGGATCAATATACAATAGTTTGCTGCCATGAAAGGAGTTACCCACACAGTTCCCTGCATTAGTTTTAATTAAAGAATAAAATTTGTTTATTTAATGACAGAGATAGATTTTAAGTGCGTACAAGTATAAGGCATTAAAATCAGAAATGGTTACAAGAGAAATAAAGATAAAACCCTTTCTAAACTTAACAAACTAGGTTCAAGATGAAACTCTTATCACATGCTCCCAAAGTCCATAGGCTGTTTCTTCTGTCTTCTTAGATGGAAAAGAGAGAGATGGATAGGCAAAGATAACGGGGTGTTTTTGCCCCTCACTTTTATAGTTCAGTCACCCTTTGAAATTGCATTTTCACGCAGTTTACCCCTAGATAAAGTTCACACCTGCTGTGAGGATGGAGACAAAAAGTGTGATGGTGAAAGAGGTTTCATGCTGTTGTTTGCTAAGATGCAGCTCTGTTTGTTCCTGCCCCTTTCTTTGCCAAAGAATGGCCATTTTATAGGTGATTACACCTCAATTTTGATGGCACCTGGCTAGGGGTATCAGCTTGTCCTTTGTCTTTAAGAAACAGATTTACCTAGTCCTGAGACTTGTCTGGTAAACACATTTCAGTCGTAATTTCAGCTTCTGTTTATAACTTTAAATGTAATGTTGCGATGTACATTTCACCACGATATGGTTGACCAGCAAGTTATTAGTTTTCAAATGATACCTCACAAGGTATATTCTGTACAAAGATTATTAAAATGGTGTGTAGGATGTGAATGCAGGGGTGCATTCCATCACAGCCTCCCAGCTTTGGTGTACTGTCCACTCTGTTCCCCAATGTATGGGGACTAGGAGCCAGAACTCCTGAGTTCCACCACTGACTTACTGTGTGATCTTGTTTTCTTCTTTTAATTTTATTTTGCAGGCTGGGGTAGCCAAAGTTCGAAAGTCCAGATCCATCACAACACATGGCTGCATTTCCCTGGACACAATCTGCGGTGGATTCTGACATTCACCCTCCTGTTCGTACATGTCTGTGAAATAGCAGAGGGCATAGTTTCAGATGCGTAAGTGACTGTGTCTGCTTCAGAGTCTAGCTAGTTGCATTAATAGTGTGGCAAGTCTGTTAATGAGGTGTAAAGAATTTTCCTAAAGAGAAGGGGCTCTGCTTAACAAGCTTCCCAATTTTTAAAGGGATAAAGGTGAAGCAGTTTTATTTAGCACTTTATTGTCCCCCTTTGAGCTACTATAGCATGAAAATGCTGACAACAGCTGAATGTATTGCACATGGATACAGAATATTCTGTCTCTAAGGAAGTCATCACTGTGCTCTCAACTAGAGTAGTAGAGCATTTCGAAGAGATGTAGCAATGCTCTTTCTTCTCTTGTAGGCATCACCAATGATTGTGTCCCCTGCCCTTTTACATTCCACTTTTTAGATTTATCCGAGATCATATATTCTAGAACCTTTGTACCTCTCTGACTAAGTGACTCACCAACTGATGCACCGCTTTGTGGTTAGGTGCAGCATGGCACTGTTTATTCTCTTTGTAGTCCAGCCAACTGGCCGTCCAATCCACTGGTGGTCCTCTTCGCCTTGTGACTTGGCCATCTGGCCAGGTCACTTTAGTCTCACCCTTTCCAGGGTAAACGAGGGTTTTAAAACAATAGTCCCAAAACCTCGCATCAGGTCAAGGCACAATAGTCCTTCCAATCCCTTGTGTCTGGGGTCTTCATACTAGTTTCCCTAATAAGGCTGTAGGGGAACTAAATCCCTTCCCCTGCCATGGGTTCCAGCCCAGGGACCCTTGTACCAAGCAGTTAAGATCTGTCTTGCCAGACCACTTTCTTCTTCCCTGTGCTACTTCCGACATTAGCCTGCCTTCTCCTTGGGAGGCTCAATTCCCAGCAGGGGTCTGCTTTGGGTCAAGGCCCTAGTCCCAGTTCCCTCATGTAACGGAGGAAAGGACACTTAATTATCAGAAATAAAGACCAGCACCCGCCCTTCTGTCATGCCAGAATCCTTCAGCCAGCCATCCTACTGTTCTGTGCTCACAGACACCTAAGTCAGCTGGTTCTCTGCTATGCTTGTCTCTGAAACCTGAGAATGAGTGATCGTTCCACCTCCCCACCTTGGGGACCTCTGAGCTGGGGGCTTCTCCCTTTTAAGGCTCCATCTCCAAGTCTGGCATGCTTCAGAGGTGCCATGAGGCGGAGCGACCTGAACCCACAGCTGCTCTTTAACTCTTTCTTGTCTAGCCAGAGGTTTTGTAGACCCCATCACACAAGCCATGCAGTTTTGACCCAGAAGAGATGATGATGATAACGATTATTAATTGGAGCTGGTCAAAAACTAATACAAAACTGCATACCCTTTTTTCAAACTTTTCTACTTTTTTTTTAAAAACGCTCCATAACTGGTCCAGCCCCCCCAAAACTAAACAAACAAACAAACAAACAAACAAAAAATCAGAACAAAAATGATAACGTGCATCCAATCTTTTTAATTCAATTTTTTTCAACAAAAAGTTTCATTGAAAAATCGACATTCAAAAAATGTCACTGGCTGTTATGGAAGTTTGCATAACATCCACCCATAGTGTCTCTGTGCTGTGAATGAAGGACTTCAATCCACCATGAACACTCAATTCATATGTACTTATACAAATATGAAAGTGAAAAAAGACACCAAATCCAGTTGCATTTATACTGTATTTCTGGTTTCTTTTCAGAAATATGAAATCTCGTCACCTGCATCTCTTCCTGCCAGCTATGATGGGATTTGTGGCTGCCACCACGGCTATTGTCTATTACCATAATATTGAAACATCTAACTTTCCAAAGTTACTGCTAGGTAAGTTGCTTATCTTATTTTTGCTGTTTTTCAAAAAGCCACTGGTTTGTTCCATAATTTTTCAAAATAAACTTTCTGACCCTGAGAAGGTTTATGAAACTCATGAAAAGCCAGGGAGAAATTTTCTGCTTACTTTTTTTCTCTCTGGGATACATTATTGCACACTTGACAGGGCAAGCTCCAGGCACCATCTAAGGAAGCAGGTGCTTGGGGCGGCCAATACAAAGGGGCGGCATTTCGTCCGCTATTGGGGCGGCCCGTCCGGGTCTTCGGCGGTAATTCGGCGGTGGCTCCCTCATTCCCTTTCTTCCTCTTTGAGCTGCCACCGAAGTGCCACTGAAGAGGAAGAGAGGGAGTGAAGGGCCCGCTGCCAAATTCCCACTGAAGAATGGAACGGCGCGATTCAGCTGCAGCCGAAGTGCCACTGATCAGCTTTTTTTTTTTTTTTTTTTTTTCCCCGTCCGCTTGGGGTGGCAGAAAACCTGAAGCCAGCCCTGACACTTGACTAGGTGGACTGGAGTATAATGGAAAATTGCCAACTCCAGTGATTTTATCATGAGTTTTACAATGTGGCTTTTTAACACTGCTCATGATTTCTGGGAAAAATTTGACCCTTATTCAAAATGGTTACTATCTCTCAGTACTTTCAATTGGTCTCAGGCTACAGACTGCCCTCAGATAAGCTGACAACCTTTTCCCTACATCCTTTGCAGGTGACAGTGAGGTTTCTTATAGTAAAGATGACTTCCATCTCCCATTGTTTCCAGCGGGACTGAAGTCAGGTTGCTCTCAAGGAATATGGCTGCCGACTATTTACCATGTTTGTCCCAGTCAGGAGGCACTGAAAGAAACCTCACGGCTCTGAGTCTCAGAGCCTAGGTCAACTGAGGTGGGCTCGTACTACAAGGCTAAAAATAGCAGTGTAGCTGTTCCCATTTGGGCTGGAGCTTAGGTTCTGAGACCCGGAGAGGTGGGTGAATTAAAGAGCCCGAGCTCCAGCCTGAGTGGGAATGTCAACACTGCTATTTTTAGTGCTGTAGTGTAAGTGCCACAAGCCCCAGTCTGTAGACTGGGCTCTGAAACTTGCAGCCACAGAGGTTTTTATTACAGTGTCGAAACAAAGGAATTGGGTAGGGGTTGCTGGAGATTGCATAAGGGGTGTGTACACCCAACACTACCTGTTGCTTAACAGTCTGAACTGGCTGACTATTCACACAGACTGAGAGGCAGGTTATAGTTTTAACTTTACAGACCACATTTTCAAAAAATGCCCTCTAAGAGCACATCTGCAATTTTGAACTCTGATGGTTTCCATACCCAAAGGGTCACTATGTATTCGCCAGGCAAGGTATTTTTTATTTTCCTCAAAGAAAATAACAAATAAAGGTCCCAGACCTGAAATTAGATCTATTCGGCTGGACCTTTGCGCCCGTGTGAAGCCCCATGGACTTCAGGTTGGCTGTGCCTGGGTGCAGAGATCTGTCCAAGCAGATCCAATTGCAAGCTCAAGGCCAAAGAAAGAAAAAAAAATATCTCAGTGAAACAGTGCAGGGCAAGTCTCTCACTCTCCAAGACCTTCCATCAGGGCCGGCTCCAGGCACCAGCCCACCAAGCATGTGCTTGGGGCGGCACCTGGAGGGGGACGGCGCGGCGGGGCGCTCCGGCCGGTCGGGGAGAGCGGAGAGCCCCAGCTGGGCTCTCCGCCCTCCTCCCGGCGCTCTGGCCGCCGGGGAGAACAGAGAGCCCCAGCCAGGCTCGGCGCCCTTCCCTGCCGCGCTGGGGGGGAGGGCGGCGGGTGGCTTTTCTGCCTAGGGTGGCAAAAAAGCCAGAGCCGGCCCTGCCTTCCATCTTGAAAAGCCTCACAACTCTGGCCCCCACGTAGGAAGGCTAAGAACCCCTGGGACTACTGGATTGGGCCCTGTGACATGGCAACTACAGCTGCATAGAAGCAACATTCAGAGTAATCCTAATTTGAGCAGCTGGATACTGATGTGATACTCGTGTGATACTTGTGTAGTTAAAAAGTACCTTTTTAAAATGATGTGGGTTGGTTTGTTTGTTTCACAGCTCTCTTTCTTTACTGGATAATGGCCTTTGTCACAAAAACCATCAAGCTGGTCAGATACTGTGAGGATGGTGTGACGTTCTCTCAGCTACGCTTCTGCATCACTGGAATTATGGTCATTCTCTATGGGCTGCTGATGGCTGTGGAGATCAATGTCATTCGAGTTAGGGTATGTGTCACTTTACTAGGCTTTGACCGGACAGACATCAGTGGTATTTGGAGTAAACATAGAAATAGAAGTGACTCCTTCTCACATGCCTGGATTGCCAAATTTAGCCTCCACTCCAGCTGAGCACATGCTTAACTTTAAGTATATTAGTAGCTCCACCGGAGTCAATGGGGCCACTCACATGATTAAAATTAAACATGTTTGCTGGATCAGGGCCTTAGTGTCAGGAAGGAATTGCCCTCTCACCCATTGTCATTGGGTAACATCTTGTGTTTTCTTCTCCTTCCTCTGCTTCATTGGTTAGGATTTAGGGGGCCAATTGTATTGGGAAGCCCATGAGCACCTTGTTCTTTTCCCCATTTATTGTTTTTACTCTTCTTTGTTTCGTCACGTGTCCTTAGCTCATTGGGAAGGTAAGCTTGCCAAAGAGATTGCACTACCGAACTTGTATGAGGTGCATTGAAAAACACTATTTCTTTTGTTTATCATTTTACAGTGCAAATATTTGTAATCAAAAATAATATACACTTTGATTTCAATTACAACACAGAATACAATATATATGAAAATGTAGAAAAACATCCAAAATATTTAATAAATATCAATTGATATTCTATTGTTTAACAGTGCCATTAAAACTGCGATTAATTGCGATTCATTTTTTTAATCGCAATTTATTTTTTTGAGTTAATCGCGTGAGTTAACTGCGATTAATCAACAGCCCTAGAATTTACTCAATAAATTATTATGTTAACTAAAAACTGCTGTGAAAGAATATAATTGCTGAACATACTATGTTTTTTCCTCTGCAGAGGTATGTATTTTTTATGAACCCTCAGAAAGTAAAGCCACCTGAAGACCTGCAGGATCTGGGTGTGAGATTTCTTCAGCCATTTGTCAATTTGCTCTCAAAGGCAACTTACTGGTGGATGAATACACTTATTATCTCGGCTCACAAGAAACCGATTGATCTGAAGGCAATTGGGAAGCTGCCAATAGCAATGCGAGCACTTACAAACTATGTTTGTCTGAAAGAAGCATATGAAGAGCAAAAGGTAAGCAACGATAGCCACGTCACCGTACAGCCTTTATACTGTTAAAGTGGTATCTTCACTTCCACTAGGAAACCCTATTTTTAGGAATTTACGACAAAAGAATTTGTTCCAAGGTGAAACTTGGCTTATAATGTTTCAGTCCAAAGGTACTGTTTTCTTTTAAAGCGAATTCTCGACTTGGGATAGTTGCCAGATTAAAAGCTTTGGGAACTGAAGCCCTAATGCACAAATCACTCGCTAGTTTTCATTTTAGAAGTCAAAGCTTTCTTTAAGTCTTAAGGGCTCATGACAGTGTTTTAAATGAACAGATATCCTCTCCAGTTTCAACTGGAAACACTCTTCTTCACATCTTCTGAACTTCTGTAGAATATTACTGTGCACTGTGAAAAAGCTACTGTCCCTTTCATAGCATCATAGTAATTTTGGACTGGAAGGGTCCTTGATAGGTCATCTAGTCCAGTCCCCTGCACTGAGGCAGGACTATGTATTAACCTTTCTGTAGATATGGGCATAACTGAGTGGATTCTTTACCTACTAAAGTATATGTATGTTATATAAATTGATTTCAGAAACTTTGGGCTAAATTCTGGCTTTTCCATTCAGAGATCCACTGAGAGGAAAGAACAGATGTTTTGGACAGAAACTCTTTGCCCCAGGGTGGCCTGACAGCAGCACTCGCAAAGCAGCACTCCCAAAATAGCCTCTAACTTTGCTCAGTCCAAGTTGCACATGCACCCTTCTGCTTGCTCCAATACCTAGTCATTTCTGCCCACAGACGAGCGTTTCCATGTGCAGATAAGGTGATTGTGAGTCTCACTAGTTTGTACACACAGGTGCACACATGTGCATATACAAAGGGGAGAACACACATATTTAGAGCCACTTTGGAAAATTTGGCCCATAGAAATCATGTGTTAATCAGTGTTAATCACTTCCCTAAACTCACAGTGTAAATTGGTTTGCATGCAGTGCAGCAGTTTAGAATGGGAATGCATGAACAAGTTGGATAGCAGCAGAAGAGCTGTGCTCTCCCCTGTAGTAGAAATTGCCTTAAGAAAATATGGATATTTTCCCCATGGGTTCTTATTTAGTACAATAGCTCGCGTTTAATATATTTGAGACTGCTTTTCTTTAGTAATCTGCATACTGTATCTGATTTATAATGAGCCAGAGAGCCAAATTTGCCGCTTGTGTGAATGGATAAAACTGCACTGCGTCAATGAATGCTGCCCATTTGTATCAGCTGAGAAAGTTGTCCTTTAGTGCCAGACTTTATAATGGGCATAATTGTGCACATACATTTGTCTGTCTAGAAAAGTTGTGGCTTCAGTGTGCCCTGTCATGTCTGGCTGTGACACAGCAGCAGCACTACCTCAGTTTGCCTCTTGTGTTCTTCGGTCAAATCCGGCCTTATGAGTGGCCTGACCATCTGGGCAAATCGCCTTCAAGAGTATGACCTCTTCTCATCCTAGAACAAGTGCAACAGAAATATAAAGACCACTAAATCTTCAGACCCAATTGAGCTCAGCTGGCCACCGTCTCCCTCACAGATGAACCTGTGCTTTACTTAGATACTTTTGCAATTGTCCACAGGCTCCTGTGCCTCACTCCACCCCACTGACTCAGTCTGGCACAGTTGTCCACCTTCCTAGGGTTTCAGGTAGGCCTTTATTCCCTCAGTGACTCCTGATCTTCCCTCAGTCTTCAGGCTCACCTGAGGAACAGACTGGCTGCTTCTGCACCCCCCCCATGCCCCACTCCCCTGCCCCAGCCCCCATCTGCACCAAACTCCCTCCCAGACCCTGCACCCCAATCCCCTGCCCCAGCCCCCTCCGGCATCACACTCCCTCCCAGGAAAAAGACTTGTATACACGGGCCCCACAAAATCTAATAGCCCCGGGCCCAGAGGAGAGTTAATCCAGCCCTGACTATCAGGCCCCTTTCCAGAGAGAAAACTCACTGCACCCTATCCCCTGGTCTGTTCCCCAACTCACCTGCTCTCTCCTCTTTTAAGTCGATCCCCTACCTTCCCCAGGTGCAATCAGCGAGGTTACTCGCACTCTTGGGTTCCCTTAACCTTTCTGGTGTCTGTGCAGAATTTACACCCCATCATAGTGTGCCGGACTGATGTATGCAGATACCTGATATGCATGCACAAACAGATATTCGTATGCCAGTCAGATGCCTTACTGGTTATCTGCACACACAAGCACCAGATTCATGGCACGCATTGAATATCTGTATTCATAAATTAAGTATGCACAAATATATATATATACAATTAAATGAGCTTGATTTTAAAAATTTGACCTACTTCACTTAGCTTTTCCTCCTCTTGGTCTATATACTGCCTTAGATTCAACCACAGTCATGCTACTATTCCAAACCAGGCTGTGACTGGTACTTCTTCGCCCTAAAACAAACAGATACTCCCTAGATAACATTAAAGTAAACCAGACGGATATAATCTGAGAAATGACTTATGACGATCCAGTGATGCTTAGTGCAGCTTCACCTCCACAAAGGAAATGTTTTGCTTCTGTGCAGACTTGGGTTAGAAAACAGCAGCAGATTCAGGAAATTTTTCAGGTTAAAATACATCATGGCCTGTGAGCTAAAAAAATATGTTATGTCATTGTTTATGCTGTATACTTTACTGGATGAAGTTGGCTATTAATCTTTCCCAGCTGGTGAGAAGAGCCCCTGAGATCTATTGGATTAAGTTGAGCTGCCCCTTACTAAAACTGGATAGAGCTGAGCTTGAGTGCATTCCAAACCCGAGCAGAATGAAGGAGTCTGTTCCTTGCTGAAGCATTTTATCACACCTTGATGAAAGACACTGAACATAAGGCTAGCAATGTTCCTTGTTGTAAAGTGTATGTGAAATAGCCAGCTACATGAATCTTTATTTCTAGTCTTTTTGTTCAAGACAAGAATTAAAACCAGCAGTGAGTTACTCTTTCCAAGGATAAAACTAGAGAGCTGATTCAGTTTGAATTTTAAATGTCCATTTTCTGAAAAGCTCTGGCCTCACAACACATATCTCAAGCACTACAGGAGTATGGACTTGTGGGGCCTGACTGACCATTATGTTTTTCCTGTTTTACACTGAACTCAATAGAATTACACCAGTGTAAAATTGCAGTGACACAATGATGAATCAGGTCTGTGAACTTCATTTGGAGTGTTTTCTTATTCCCATTGAGATCAGTGGGCCAATTCTTGAAGTCCTTACTCAATTTTTTACTCAGACAAAATTCTCGCTGAGTCCTGTAATGGGGAATTTTGCCTAATTAAGGACTGGGCTAGCTATACTCAGTGAAGAATTTAAGTTCACAAATGTAGGCCCTTTTTGTGTCCACAAATTAGCCTTGAACAGATTTCATTTTTTATGAATTTGTTAACTGTTCAAGAATATTTAATAAGTACTTTATGCAAACATATTTCCGGCTATGGGTCATTCACCACAGTTTGCTATGAGTATTCACTATTTGTAATTCAATATTTGAGTTGTGTAGTTGGGCACAGTATTATTTTGAATTTCCTGATTGTAAAACTTCCAAACTGAAGTTACTGGATGATATGCAGCGATCTATTTATCGGGGATCGATATATCGCGACTCGTTAAATCTATCCCAAATGAGCTCCCCGTCGACTCCGGAACTCCACCGGAGCGAGTAGCGGTAGCGGAGTTGATGGGGGAGCCGCGGCCGTCGATCCTGCACCGTGAGGACGAGAGGTAAGTTGGAATAAGATATGTCGACTTCAGCTACGGTATTCCCGTAGCTGAAGTTACGTATCTTACATCGACACTCCCCCCTAGTGTAGACCAGGCTTAAAAAGCTAACAGAACACAAAGCTGTGACTCTGGCTGCATCCCATTTGAATATGCAGCAGTTGTCTGAGTTCATAAATATTGTGAGGTAGCAGAAACTAACTTGCCCATCAGCCTATTTGCAGACTCAATTCTTCAGCTTGGATGATGCACAAATGCGAAGAATTTATTTTTTCAATCCATTATGAGAATAGTGAGAAGTATGAGAAAATGGGAATGGTGGTTTACTGCTTTGTAAAGTGCTTTGTTCTATTGATTAAGAGTTAAAAGAGAGTTGGGTATTATTATTATCTCATGAAGTAATATGAAGTTAAATTAGAAGATAGACATAAATGATATAAATTAGAACTGGTTGAAATTCAGAATTTCCATTCCAGGAAAATTCTGACATTTTGGGAAAAATAATTGTTCTGAATCAGGACAAAGATAAAATTTTGAAATTTTCCATTAAATGAAATTTACAGGTTTTTTGTTTCAGATCAACTGAAATGTTTAGTTTCAATTTGACTGTTTTATTTTATTTTATATTATTTTTATGTTTGATGTTTTGTTTTATTTATATTATATTATATTAAAAATGGGGTTTAATAATTATGTTTAAATTATAAAATAAAATAAAATAAAATAAA